TCTGATGTAAAATAACTCTTTTCACATTGTATCTTCTGCACATAAACAAGCACTATTTGGGTTTTGGAACATCCATTACACAATAGTTCTGAAATCTTACTGATTTCTTGGAGACAGTCACAGACCAGGAACTATGAAAGGTCGACTATTGCTCCTCCCCCCGCCCGTCCTGAGAAAGCACAGGCTCCGCCCTCCAAACGTGACGTAGGCTCTGAGTGAGCCGCCCTTCCTCCACCATCTCAGGGAGGGAGGGGGAGACAGACGTGCACCCTGATAGTGGCAGGAATAAACTTTTATTCATCATGGAGATACAGCGCGTTCAGCCGCATGTGTTGGACCCGGAATCGGACGAGGACTTTGAGGAGCACGAAGCTCAAGCACCGAGTCCACATCAGCTGAACATTACTGATTGGTAAAGTATTAATAAACACTAGTAGATCAACTTATTATATCAGTGTAGGAGAATGAGCTTATGCTGTCGCTTTTGTTTAGATGTTCATGTGGGAATTGTCCGATGATGCGGGGCGGAGGTGGTGGAGCGGGGTGGGTGTGAAGCGTTTTCTACTATGTCAAATGCATCATAGGTGTATCTGCCGCGTCATCGTTGTAGCAGCTTTAGTTCGTTGTCACGTGGGAGGGTGGCAGAAATACACTGCAATTTGTAAAAAAAAAAGAAGCTGAATCAATCTAAAAACACTTTGGCGACAAATATAAGGCCCACACATGACTTTTAGAAGGTAGAAAGCTCTGAAAAGTTGATTTTGCATGAGATGGGCCCTTTAAACTGACTATATCTCCAAAGATAAAATTGTGTTCCACTTTGTGATGTCATGAAGCAGTAGTTTTCAAGATATTGACTCCTTTAACCTTAAGTTCAGCAGAGACGGAAAATTCCAGGAATTAAATGATTCAAATGGTTCTAGTGCCAATGTATGGGGTTTAAAAAAACACAGTGTGGTGCTTCCTTTATTACCACATGACATCACAAGGTGGAACAGAGTGTTTTCTGTTTGAGAGAAAAAACAAACAAACATGTGTTTTAAACATGTGTGAATGAAACAAAACACAAGAGCAGGTCTGTTTGTGATGAGGAAACAGCATTATCATGTAGATCAGAGAACAGTGTGATGTACATAGGTCCTTTCAAATCTACTTTATTCATAATAACAATGCAGTAAATGTATATGACACTTTAATGGACACTTGAACCAGACGCTTTGATTTATTCATTCACTCCACTCTCAAAGGAGGTGAGAAGCTGAGTGAGACCATTAGAATCTTTGACCACTGCCAATTTCTCAGTCTCACATCACATTCATACTTGGCAACCTGGGTGGAGTGTCTTGCCTAAGGATACAACCTCTGTCTGCACAGGGGCTAGCACACACTACAGCAGGACTATTCAACAGAATTTTCTTCAGAGCCAGATCCTTCACAGCTCGATGGTTTCTGGGCCAAATAGGTGCATGATACTCAACTACTTTAAGCCAATCTGGACTCACACAAACTATCTGGATCTTTCAACCTGACAATTTAACAACAGCAACTATGTTTGATTTGTGTGAAAAATAAATTACAAAAGTCTGCAAATTACCAGACCAGTACTGAACTGGGACTAAACCAGGAGTAAACCATGTCTAAACCAGAACTACACAGAATAAAACCAGAGGCAGATCAGTCAGCAAGAGAACAAACATTGTGTCATATTTTGCAACTGGGCCAGGGCCAGATCAGATCATTTTAAGGTCAGATTTGGTTGTTGAATAGACCTGAACAAGAGGCATTCTTAAGGTGGTCTGAAAAGTTAAAACACGAACCGTTTCCAATGCGACACGCACAGAATAGACTCAACGTCAGCCGCAACATATATTCCACTGAGTCGTGTCCTTTAGTCTGACAAAAGTTTAAAGGTGTCAGCAGCACAAGGAGCTGTTTTTATCAGTGCTACAGTTCATGCAAATTAGCCATGCTGTTTTAAGTTTTGTTTCTGTAAAACGTAAACAAATGTGGTTTGAAGCCAAAATGCTGCCGAATTGCAGAAGTACTAGTATTTTTGGGGGGGACCAACTCTCTTGTGGTCGGACTTGCGACTTTGTCTTGTCTCTTATGAGCGTCACGTGACAGCGGAACAAAACTAATCGAACGTCATCTCCCCAAGAAACATTATAGATACTATTAGATTTAAATTGTGATGGCATTAACCTGAAAATACAACCACACATTCATTTGTGCTGCGCAAACAAATTTAGATATCAGTAAATTATGACATAATATTAGGTCCTTTTCTTTTTAATGACAGTAATGAAACTGACACCCTTATTATTTTTTGATACCGCAGAATACAGTAATACTGTATTACCACGCAACCCTAATTTCCAGCACTCAAACTATTAGTTCCACCTTGTGATGTCATTAGGTGGCAGTCCCAGAAGTGCTATTCTGCATTCACACAACTTCACTTGACTTGACTCATCCCAATAATGTCACGGCATCTCAGAAGTTTTAGTTCTTGATCCTCATTTGCCCAGTGCTGAATTTAGCATCTGAAAATAGCAAATAAATGTGACGGAAGTTAGTCTGAGGATTGATAAGGAAGGGCATCCGGCATAAAAATCTGAGCAAAGTGAATACAAATTTAATCAATGCAATGCAATTATACATTTCCCTGTGAATGTACCCAAAGTTCTCGTCCTTTCACACTTGCTTATCTGGCTGCTTTATCAGGCCCTGACGACTCCCTGCATTCTAATTCAAGTTTATTAATTACAACGACGCACGCAGATCACACAATAAATCCTGTGGAATTTATTGGATGTCATATCTAAAACAAATTATAGCAGGGCCAATATTCTCACCTCAAGATAACAGCCAGCCGAGGTGAGGAGAGGAATCAAATGTACGGAAATGTGCAGAATTTTGATGAGATATGGAAGAGTTTAATGGGACTCGGCACATATTAAAACTGAACAGAAAGCTCTAGTCAGTGTATTGTCTTTTAAAAGGGCACTGTGCAACTTTTTCCCTCGTAGAATGTCTGTGTTTAGTAGTATGGCATCAAACTAATCCATCTTGTGTTCAGATATGAGTGTTTTGCCAAAAGACACCTTGAAATATATGCATGTTTTACCAGTAACTTGTCTTGCATCACACGGTTGTCTCCATGGAGATAGTTTTATTCTATACTGTGGAACATTCCAGGTAAAGCTACAACATATCCAAGGAGACAAGCAAGTGGCAGAGTCTCTGACAGAAAAGTTTCCATATGCACCTTTAAAGAGCCCATATTTTTCGGACTATAAGCTGTATTTTTTCTCATGGTTTTGGGTGTTTTCCCTGGTGCAACTTCTATGTATGAAGCAGTGAGAGGTTCTAGTCTTGTGTGTGAGTATCTGCTGCTCCTGTTCCTCCTGTACCACTGTCACTTCACTCTACTGCACATGTCTCCTGCAGAAAGAGCCTCTGTTCTGTCTGTATCATGTCAGTCGATCGCACCATTACTTCTGCACCACTGAACAACTGAACATTTAAACAAACTTATAAAGACAAAGACTGAGAAGACTGAACACAAATGTCCCCCAAAAGAAAATCATATTTTGCAGATTACAAACTGCAAGTAGCAAAATCTGCAGCTGAAAACGATAATCGAGCAGCAGAAAGAAAGTTTGGAGTGAAAGAGAAACTTGTGACACCGGGAGGATGCACCATGAAACTTTCCTGAAGTCACTGGATGGATGGACAAAGTCTGGACTTCAGTGGCACTGAAACCATCCTGTCGGGATTCAGAAAGACCAGAATAATTCTAACTGGAACTGATGCTGAGTCTGACGACAGCGACACAGAAGAGGAAGCGGCGCTCTGTTTACCTCCGGAGGTCGAGGCCGAGTTGTTCAGAAGTGACACCGAGGATGAAGAATTGAATGGATTTAGTGATTTGGAGTGAGATGGAGAGTTTGGTAAACTTGTTCTGTTCTGTTGTTTATGTTATAGTTTATCTGAAGAACTGTTCATATGTGACGTTAACAGTCTGTTCTTCTCTCTTCTATTGTTTTTACTACAACTTGACTTTACACAGGAAATGTCGGTTCCTGGTCTCTGACTGCGCTATTTTCTGATCTATGTTCTAATGTAGTTTCCTCATCACAAACAGACCTGGAGTTGTGTTTTGCTTCATCCACACGTTTAACACACAAACCCTGCACATTTGGGCTGAGAAAACACTCCACTTTGTGATGTCACGTGGTAATACAGAATATGCCTCATTGTGTGTTGAAACGCCACAGACCTTCACTAGATTCTTTGCGTATTTTCAGCCCTGATCTCTGCTTGAACTAATGGTAAAAAGTACCTGCTCTGTTTCACCTTGTGATGTCATGTGGTAATACAGGAAGAGGTTGTGCTGTGTTTTTAAACTCCATACACGTTCACTAGAATCATTTGGATAACTTCTGTTTATCTCTATTCAACAAAAGGTTAAAAAAAAGTAGCTGTTAACTTGAAAACATCACAAGGTGGAAGAGAAGGTTTTGAGCTTTGGATGTAGACAGACAAATCAGAAAGTGTTACTCAAACATGTGTGAATGAAACAAAACACAACTGTGAGTATGTTCTAACATGGCTTAAACCTCACAATAGTCAATTTGAGACAGAAGAAGAAGACAGAAGACATTAAAAATAAAATTGTGTTGAATAGTGTGTGAGAGCTAAAAATAGCAAAAACTGAAGCTTTTTTTTTTTTTTTTTTTTGGTCGTATTGTTATTTTTATGATAAATTTTGAAATCCTTGGTTTGATGCAATGTTCACCCAGTGCTCTGAGATGTTCTGGTGTGAAAACAGTGACAAGATGAAATGTCTGTTTAATTCTAATATTTATAAGTTGGCATTATGTCTGTATTTGCCTGGAAGAAACCACTAACTCAATTGTTTAAATGAATTATAAGCCAATCTGTATACAAGACACAACAATAAAACACAGTTCATTCTTTCATTCCTTGATGCTCACCCCGGTACTGGAGCTTCTGGGCCCTGTTGTTGGGGCAGTCCTTCCCCTGGACACTGAAGTTGATGTTGGTCCGGATGCAGCGGTTGTTGAGGGGTTGGACGGGCCTCACGTTGTCGCTCATACTCAAGAAGATCTGCGAGGGCTGGTTCTGACTCAACAAGCGCAGGGAGTGCATCTGCGGAGAGGAACGCAGGGTCAAACTCACAGGCAAACAGGACGGAAGAGTTTCATCTGTGGATCACTCGTTTTTCAAAATAAAAGCAAATATTTTCTGCTTTATGTGTCTCCAAAACCAAAATGAAAAAAGGACAACGATTTATTTATTTATTTATTTTCAGTTTTCGATTTTGTGTTTAACCAAGTAACGGAAAAAACAGATAACGGCCGTTTCCCGTCTATGTGACTTAAACTGCACTTGTATTGTTTTACTCCTGGTTTAGTCCTGGTTTAGTCCTGGTTTAGTCCTGGTTTAGTCCTGGTTTAGTCCTGGTTCAGTCCTGGTATAGTCCTGGTTTAATCCTGGTTTAGTCCTGGTTTACTCTCTGGTTTAGTCCTGGTTCAGTCCTGGTTTAGTCCTGGTTTACAGTTCTGGTTTACTCCTGGTTTACTCCTGGTTTATTCCTGGTTTAGTTCAGTCCTGGTTTACTCCTGGTTTAGTCCTGGTTCAGTCCTGGTTTAGTCCTGGTACAGTTCTGGTTTAGTCTGGTTTACTCCTGGTTTAGTCCTGGTTTACTCCTGGTTTACTCCTGGTTTACTCCTGGTTTAGTTCCGGTTTAGTCCTGGTTTACTCCTGGTTCAGTCCTTGTTCAGTCCTGGTTTACTCCTGGTTTAGTTCCGGTTTAGTCCTGGTTTACTCTCTGGTTTAGTCCTGGTTCAGTCCGGGTTCAGTCCTGGTATAGTCCTGGTTTAGTCCAGGTTTAATCCTGGTTTAGTCCTGATTTAATCCTGGTTTAGTCCTGGTTTACTCCTGGTTTAGTCCTGGTTTAGTCCTGGTTTAGTCCTGGTTTAGTCCTGGTTTAGTCCTGGTTTAGTCCTGGTTCAGTCCTGGTTTAGTCCTGGTTTAGTCCCAGTTTATTCCTGGTTTAGACCTGGTTTAGTCCCGGTTCAGTCCTGGTTCAGTCCTGGTTTAGTCCTGGTTCAGTACTGGTTTAGTCCTGGTTCATTGATCGATCTTTCTTCTGCTCAGTAAATAACACCTGTGAAGTGATGTTGTATTTTTGACAGTCGCGTCGCGTCTGTGAATTCATATTTGTACTGAAGAAAGTGTGATCGTAACTTTCATTTACTCTTGATGTTGAAACTTTTTAGTTTGTAATCTGATGGAGAAAATACACACAACACATTTTATGTACGACTAGACTCATTCGAGAGTTTACAGATATTTATTTTATGCTCAACTACAGACAAATATGCACTGATTTCTATCCTACGCTCACAAATATTTCTGGAAGCTTTCTTACTCCAGACATGTCTTAGACGCAGAACTGGAAACTTCTCTTTTCCTGTGGAATCAATTTTGAGCCAAAAAGTTAAAAGAACACATAAAACATCAAGCAAAAAAGTATAAATCAAAATACCAAATAAAAAAAAATCTAACAAAAAAAAAATAAAATCAAATAAAAATAAATACATTTGCAATCTAATTATTTGTGTAATTGTGTAAAATATTTGTCTTTGCCACTTTGGAAACATTTAGTTTGGTTTTGGAGACAAATAATGAAGAAAATTGTTGTTTTTTGTTTTTCTTATTTTTGGTTTTCTTTTTGAAAAAAAATGAATGATCCATGTATTGACTTTGTTTTGTTAGTTGCGTTCAGGGCAGTGGTGGAAGAAGTACTCAATTTTGTTGCTTAAGTAAAAGTACACATATCAGAGCAGAAAAACTCAAGTAAAAATAAAAATATCATGTGAAAAAATCTACTCAAATAAAAGTATCAAAGTACTTATAAAAAATGCACTTCAAAAGTAAAAAGTAAAAGTATTTCACACAGATCTTGTATAAGCAGGGTTCCCACAGGCATGAAAATCCTGGAAAAGTCATGTAAATTGAAAATGTTATTTTCCAGGTCTGGAAAAGTCATGGAATTTTGTAAATTCAATGAAAGTTCTGGAAAAGTCATAGAATTTTTAGCATCTCTTTCACACAACTCCAGTGTTTTGTTAAGTTCTCATGAGATTATTCTGATTATTTGTGAACATCTGCACCTTTTGTTTAAAAGAGACGATGATAAATGCACTGACAGAATTTTAAATGTTCAAAAACTATAATCCCAAACCATAAAATGAGTGTAAAGAGTTAACATTTCATATTTAGCCCTAAAAGTCTGATCAAATTCCTCACATGGAGAAAAGTATTGATCTTGATCCACATTTGTGCTGAAATTAGTTCAACAGAAACAACTGAATCGATTGTTTTATTCTAGCTGTTTTTAATTGTTTATTTGTGTTTGCTCAAACCACAAACCTGTTATAAATAAACCCTCAGCCTTTTCAGCAGGACTCACAACAATAATAAAATATACTTTTCAGTCCTGTTCAAAAATGCAGTGGAGTAGAAAGTAGAATCCTGCTCTGAAATGTAGAGCAGTAAAAGTAAAAGTATCCACTGTAAAATGTACAGCACAGATACTTAAAACTGTACTTCAATATAGTACTTCACTACTTTTACATTGTTACATTCCACCACTGATGAAAGGTGAACTGTGTAACTTTTTTTAGTGGAGAGTGGAGGGAGATGTTATTGTTGTCTCTGGAGTATCGCAGTATGGCATTAAACATATTTGTCTTGCATTAGGGCCTGGTCAAACAGAAGTAAACACAAGGCCAAAACTTCAAGTTAATGCATCTGATATAAAACTGTATTGAACAGATACATATGTACTCTAGTTTATGAAACTGTTCACCTTTTTTCTGGACCATTTTTGGTTCTAAAGTTCCATATGTTTTAAACAGACCATGTATGAAACATGGAACAAAAATTATTTCCCAAATTTCAAAGACCTGAAAAATCATGTCAATAAATGGATGTATTTCATCATATCTTGTGTTATTCCATCTTTGAACTGTTGATGAAGGTACAGGATTTTTCAAAAAAAAAGTATTTAAAATGATAAAAAAAAATTTGCTTGGAAGGACTGACATATTTTATAGAAATAGTTTCCTTTCATTTTGAAGTAATATTAAAGTATTCTGAAGAAAAAAACTTACAAATGATGTAAAATCCTGCACCTTCTACTTGTTTGTATAATTTTCCCTCCGTTACTTTTCCCTCCGTTACCATGACCTTTCTTAATAAAAAATCTCATGACTCAAAAAGTAAGAGGTTTTTCAACCTAATCTTGTACCATATGGTAGAAAACTATATGAAGCAAATATTCAAACCAGTTTGTTAAGGATATGGAAGTGAGAACCAAGAGTTATCACTGTTTGGATTTATTGCCCAAAAAGTGCTGCATATTTCATTCCCTCCGTTACCGACATGAGTTTTAAAATTTTTTTGTCAACAACTTGAAAGGTTTAACTTGACCCTGTTGAGTGTAACTCTTTCCTACATTCTGGTACTTTACTTATTTCAATAGTCCCTCTAGTTTCTGAATAAGAGACATTTGAATGTCAAAAATCTGCCCCTGTTTCCCTCCGTTACTGCTTGACCAGACCCATTTACTTAATAACATGGGGTTTAATTGACCTAAAAACTTGCATTCTTACCCCGAATTCACACCAGGACCTGCAGCAGCGCTTAACGTAGGTGGAGCTGCATGTACGCGTAAATTTGAAAGTTTCAATTCACACCAGAGCGTCAGAGACGCTCCTGCTGCAGCCTGCACATCTTCTCACTGTTTCAGACATCACATTTTGTACTTGCTTTTTATCATATTCAGCAGGTGTCCGAAAAGCACGACAGCTGCACGTACCTCTTCTCCAAGCTCTGCATCGGTCGTTTCACCCGCGGACACTCGGGTCTACACAGAAGGACCTCCGAGCACATTTCGACAGTGAGTCCTGGTTTAGTCCTGGTTTAGTCCTGGTTTAGTCCTGGTTTGGTCCTGGTTTAGTCCTGAGTCCTTGTAGAATTGACATCGTAAATCACGTGCGCGTTGTTTACGTCGCTGTCTTGACTTTGGTTAAATTATTTTGAAAGGGCATCGGAAGTTTATTTTGATACCGCGTGTTTATTTCCTGTCTTTCCCCTGCTAAAAGCCTTGGAGACGCACCGCTGACGCTGCAAAATTAGAAGTCCAACCTATCTCGAGCAGCGCGTCAGCGTCAGACGCTCGTTGGACGTGCGTATGACACAGTCGGTGTACATTATCAGACCGGTTAAAATGGAGTTCTAAAGCAGCGCGTCTGCTGCTCGTGTGCTGTGCTGCTGCGCTTACGCGCCGTTGCACTTTGGTGTGAATCGGGGGTTACTGTGAGTGGGCTCGCCTCTCCACAGATCATGTACCCTGACGCTGTGGTGTCACCTTCTGTCTCCATGGAGATAAATGAGTGTAAACATTTTTCATGGACAGATCCTCCACCAGAAAAGTTACACAGTGAACCTTTAAAATGGCATAGTTCACACAGAATTTAACTTAAATTATAAAGACAAAATATTGGATTAAAAAAAGCTTTATATTTGTTACACGGTGGGTTGTGTATTTCCAATCACGAAGAGGAGAAACTAAAATAACACAAGCACACAGCACCAGAGCAGACTTTTCTCTTTCTCTCATTGATTCTATGCAGTTTGAAGCGTGTGTTTTAATATTGTAGCACTTTTATTCAACTTTTTGAAGTGCATTATACATAAAGTTGCANTATTTCTGGAAGCTTTCTTACTCCAGACATGTCTTAGACGCAGAACTGGAAACTTCTCTTTTCCTGTGGAATCAATTTTGAGCCAAAAAGTTAAAAGAACACATAAAACATCAAGCAAAAAAGTATAAATCAAAATACCAAATAAAAAAAATCTAACAAAAAAAAATAAAAAATAAATAAAAATAAATAAATTTGCAATCTAATTATTTGTGTAATTGTGTAAAATATTTGTCTTTGCCACTTTGGAAACATTTAGTTTGGTTTTGGAGACAAATAATGAAGAAAATAGTTGTTTTTTGTTTTCTTATTTTTGGTTTTATTTTGAAAAATGAATGATCCATGTATTGACTTTGTTTTGTTAGTTGCGTTCAG